TGATTCTTGATTCATTATTTCGAAGTCTGACAGCGTTTTATGATCGGGGCATGAAGTCTGCAAGCATGCCATGTTATTGAAATCTGCATTTAACAGAACTGTAAAAAGAATAAGAGAAGTGACAAAATTAAGAAAAGAGACATTCCTCGATAATGAAATATTAATTTCATTTGATTTTGTTCCTTTTTTTTATTTTATTTCGATTGATTTTTTTTTGAATTTTAAAGATAGATGGGTTTACACCAAAAGTAAAATATCCAGATCACACCCTGAGATAATTCGGACGCAGAAAGGATAGCAAGACTAGCTACTGAGACTCCCGTGTGATAGAAAACTTTCAGGCTTGGCGACCGTTTTTGGCTTTTCCTCTGTCTCGGCAAGGGCCTTCAGTGCCATATCAAATTCCTCATCTCTCCAATTTCTGTTCATCAAACCCTCTGAACCACTCTGAACGGCCTGTGATGTGGTCTTAAAGGCAGCATGACTCAAGATTTGGCCCGTTTTTAAATTATTTTCGACCATCTCCCCAATTTTGATAGCCTCGGCGAACGGATTACCCATAACAGACATCATTTTCTGGAAGTAGTTCGCCTCTTGGGCTTGTAGGAAGATCGTAGCCATTTCTGTTTTGTCCATTGGAGGCTTTCCCCTGACGGCTTGCTCGCGTCATATGACAGCATATTCACAAAAATATTCCGCGGTTTCTTTTTCAATCTGTACACAAAGTTCTCTTTTTGAATTTTTCACTCTTGCTTTTTCTTTTTTTTTTCTACATTTTTTTTCTCTTTGTTTTTTTTTTCGCTCTTTGTTTTTTTTTTCTCTTTTCCTTCTTTTTCTTCCTTCTCTTTTCTTTTTTTTTTTCACTCAGTTTATTTGATGTCAATGATCGAATCCGATGGGGATTGCCTACGTATCATGACGCCGCATGAATCAGATCTTGCGCAGTTCGGAAAAGATCAAGAATAAAGTAAACAAACTAACACTTTTTTTCTTTATTTGTTTTTACTCATACACAAAACAGACCATGAAAACTTCTAACAAGAAACATATTTTTGATATTTTCTTTTTTGGAGGAAAATTTTTGAAAGGAAAACTTCTTTAAGAGTAAAGAAAATATTTTTGGATTTTAAATTTTTTTTTGTTATGTTTTTTTAAATATATTTCTTTTTTTTTTTTTGAGAATTTTTGAAAAGAAAGACTTCTAAAGAAGAAAGATTTTTTTTTTTGAATTTCGATTTTTATTTTATTTTTTCTGAAGAAAGACTTCTAAAAAAAAAAAAATATTTTTGAATTTTGATTTGATTTTTTTTTCGAATGAAAGACTTCTAAAAAGAAAGAAAATATTTTTGGTTTTAATTTTTTTTATTTGGGATTTTCTAAAGAAGGAATTAAATAAAAATATTTTTGGATTTTTGAAAATTGGGGCCGGAACCGATGAGGTTTGCCTACATATCTCATATCCGGTGAGAATCAGACCCGCATAGTTCGGTAATTTTGACACAACAAGAAAACATGACTTTTGTAAACATTGGCTTATTTTTTTTCTTTTTTAAAAAAAAATTCGTCAGAGTTTCAGAATTTTTTAAATACCTACCTTTCACTCTTGTTTTTTTTTTCTTTCCCTATTCTAGAAACCGGTCAACATGCAAGCCGAAACAAACATATGCACAAGTAGCACGTAAAAATGTATCAGGATGGTCTTTTATATTTGGTACACCTATCCTAGACGAACACAACCCGTGTGTTGAGTCCCCAAAGTTAAATGCACGTGATGCAAACAAACGTACCTACTAGGGATCCGGTATGAGGTTATGTCATTCTAAGTTTAAATCCTGGGTGTATTGTTCTAGACTTGATTTATCCGAGCGGACAACTCGAGCCGAAGTGGGGCAGCATACCGGAAATACAGAAGCTTCACCGGCTTTGCAACTTGTCCGATCTTCGTTCTAAAATTAGGGTATGAGTCTAACAGAAAAGAAGCCACGCGAAGCGCACACTTCCGAGAAGATTTAGAAGACTCGGAGAGAATAAGGGTTTTCGTAACAGTTTATATACAGTTCACGACAATATCAAAGCGGTAAAGAGCAGCAATTAGCACATTAGGCTCAAACATATAAAAAAATCAGATAATAAACAAAAACAAAGTATAAAAGTTATCTAAACTCGAATTCTGAACCCTGAACCAGAGATTTTGGGTTCGTTTTCCCATCAGAGTCGCCATAGCTGTCACACCTCCTTTTTTCCGAGGGATAGGGGTAGGAAGTTTTTCCAATTAAAGTGATATTATTCGAAATGAGATTATTTGTTTTGGTCAGAGGCGCCACTTGAAATAATTTATGGTGTCCCAAGTCACCGGTTTATTTTAAATCCCAAATCGAGGAAATTTGACTCTATTTTTGTGGTCTGCGAACACAGAAGACCGGGTAAGGAATTCTGTTAACCCAGGAGAAGGTGTAAGGCACTCCCGAGTTCCGTGATTTTAGCACGGTCGCTCAACTATTAATGATTGGCCTAATTATCTGATTTAATACATGCTTAAAACCTATTGTGCATTTTTAACTTTTAACTGCTTTTAATTATTTATGGAACTTATTTGAACAAGTCGCGATGTCGCACACTCATTTATTTTTGTACATATTGCGTCACGTGAAACGCACCCGCGATTTACAACATGCTTATTTTTATTATTATTCGAAGTTGAAGTCAAGTCGCGTAAAACGCGCACTTGAGTTGGGGTTTACATATCGTGACTATGCCACGGGAACCGTACCCATATTCACGATGATTTATTAATCGCGCCTAAAGCAAGCTACGAATATTTATGAGTCTATCTTCCTAAACTAATTTGAGATTGTTGTGAAGGCCATAGATTATGGAATTTATTTGTGGATGACATGTCTTAATTACTAATGGATCATTTAGTACTTGATGACCAAAAGACTCTTTCAATTCATCTTATAATCTATAGAATATGCCCCAAGTGATAGTAATATATTAAATAATCCAGTCGTTCTTATCATTAAAAAGTAATTCTTAAAGCCCAATCATTTCATGTGAATGCCCAACTCATCTTTCAAGATATTAGTGTATGGCCCAATTAGGAAATAATTCATTTACCAATTAAACTTTGAGCCCATATTCTTAGCACTAACAATCATTCCAAAATAACGATACTGGTGAAGCAAAACTCACGTCTTAACACCAAAAGAATTAACCAAGGACTTCAAGGCATGCTAATTAACTAAAACTAAAAACAGTAAGCAATTAGACTAAAATATCCTTAAAAATAATAAGTGAAACAGTAAAGCAATCGCGAATCAATCTTTAAGCAAAACAGAAAAAAAAAAATATTCAAACTTATAGCAAACATAATATGAATTGGAATCCGAAAACTGGAGAATAAGAAATGGACCTTTCAATAGCTAAATATTCTTCGGTACAACATGAACAAAGCTCTGATGAACTTTTGTACGAACTAACCACAACCGGAAACGGTATCGAGAACCTCGACGGAGCTTCTAACCTCTACTGAAACTCTTTTGTTTTAGTGTTTGGGTAAGTTTCAGCTGGTGGTTCATGGAGAAAGATGAGGTGTTAGGTGTTGGCTTTTTGCTGGAATTTTAGGCTGGATTTTCGAAAGAAATACGAAGAAAGAATGACACAAGTAGAAATTCCCTTATCCTAGAAGAAGAAAATAAATTTCTCTCAATTCCCTCCTCACTTTTTTTCTCTCCTCTCCCTCCTCTTTTTTTCCCTCACATTTCTCTTCTATTTATAGAAAAAAATTCGGAATTTTCAGTTTTTTTATTTTTTTTTTGTTTTTTTATTTTTTAATTAAAAGAATTTTCACTTCCCATTTTTCTTATTTTTTTTAAAAAAATAATTTCCCACTTTCCTTTACTTTTATTTTTTAATTTCTCACTTTTTTTTACTTTTAATATATTTAGAATCCCACTTTTTTTACTTTTCTTTTTTTATTTTCCACTTATTTTACTTTTCTTTTTTTATTTTCCACTTATTTTACTTTTCTTTTTTTTTTAATTTTCACTTACTTTTACTTTTATTAAAAAAAATCAGATACCCTTACTTTTATTTTTTAATTCCAACTTTATTTTACTTTTCATTTTTTTAATTTCCACATTCTTTTACTTTTATTTTTTTAAATTTTCCACTTTCTTTTACCTTTTTATTAAATAATTTCTACCTACTTTTACTTTTATTTTTTTAATTTTATATTTCTACTTTTCCTATTTTTTAATTCCCATCCGAAATATTTTTTTTTAAAATTAATTAATTAATTTTTATTTATTTTCGGTTTTTAATTCATTTTATTTAAAAATAAAGATAAAAAAATACTAAAAAAAATAATACTAATAGTAATAATTGACCTTTAAAATTATTATTAATTTTTACCCTTTATATATATATAAGTGTAACAAAGCTAAAAATATATATATATTAAATTTCTGAAAATATTTACACAGTAGAAAGTAATAAAAATTCAAATATAGTCAAAAATTAGGTCTTACAAGGGTTGTGTCAGCCCACTTACATTTGAAAAAGGCAAATTGTAAGCTCTGATAAGATTCGACAATATTAGCAAAGTGACTTCGAATATCAACTTAATTAACCAGCACAAAAAAAATATTAGTTTAGCTTATGTTTCTATTCAGCCCAAAAGAATGATGACATAAGTTGTCCTATACGCATAAAGCAGGGTGGAAAAGGCAAAGTAAAGGAAAAGCTGATCAAGGTTTTCCTTATCTCTTTTCATTCTTTTAAACATTTACGTTTTCGGACTTTCTCATTAAGGCGGAGAAAGTCTCTCGGGTCTATCGGAAATAACCTCTCTACTCCCTCGGGATAGGGGTAAAGTCTGTGTACACACTACTCTCACCAACCCCAGTGAAATTTCACTGGGTTGTTGTTGTCATTTATGTGGAGAGACTGGGGGACGGGGGTTGGGGTGTCATAGAAGAGGGGAAAGACAGAACAGGCAATGTTTTTTAGATGTACTCCTTCATATCGACTATTCATTAGAGAGGACATTCAATTATTCGTTAGAATAGGCAATGCCCGCACTTATGTCCGTACTATTGACTAAAACAATTGACTCTAAAAGGATAGACGTTTTAATCTCTTTTTTTTTCTTTCTTAAGATAACAAAAGCCCCTCCCCTCTAGACTATATGTAATAGGTACCTCCAAGGCGTGGTCAAAGATATAAATGCATGAATATGTACAGAAAATCTATTTTACAAGTTCTTTATTGCTGTATATGCAGAGATATGAATGTCACAGCACTCTGCCTCCCACGAAAAATCCGTTGTCATGGCATCGACAATCTTCTTGTCCCATTTTGATTGGTTGTTCTTCTGTAATAACATGACATAAAGCAAGATTAAAAGGCCTGCTCTTTTCTGGGTAGTAAAGTACTTACAAGGAGCAGACAGCTGAATAAGAGTAAAGTTTTTTCATACTCATTTATTAAGTTCTTTCGGGCGCATGGGAAGGGAAGGGGGGAAGGGGGTGAGAAAGACTCAAGTACGTACAAGTTCTTCAATTGCTTGGTTCAGGGACATATTGCCGAAGGTATCTTTGATATAACGAGAGAATTTGGTGCCCTCAAGATCACGGTCCATAAAGTGCCTGTTTATCCATGAAAGGCGTGAACTTTCTCAACAGGCAAAGAAATAACAAACCATAGATAAAGACACAGGATGAAAATTTTCAGCTCATTTTGCATATGTTGTTAACTAACCCGAATTTGCTCTCCGTAAAATTCAGTAGAATAGGCACAGCTCCATATCTCATGGCCTTGAGCTACAGACATATAAACAGAGAAAACATCAGAAGCATTAAAATTTCAGGATATATAGAAAAAAACAGGCAGATTAAAATCTAAAGACTCTAAAGGGAAGCAAACATGATGTTAATTTATGTGTCAATTAAAAAGGTTAATCAATTCACTGTGGAAAGCAAAAGAATGATACATGTATCACAAGTACTCTTCTAATGACAGTATGTTTTCTAATTTTGAGAACCCTTCTTCATCTGAAGCAAAATGTGCGGCCAATGTTTGCATGCTAAATTGTAATTCCTGTCTTGCAGTCTCTTAGATAAGGCTTATATGAAAGGGCTGAAATTAAATGTTTTGGTTCTTCGGTGGGCAATGCGACCGATGGTGGCACAGCTGGAGGTAAATGCAAATCAAGCGAAGCAACACTTATTTCTCCTTTTCATAATAAAAGGTTTCAGTATTTCTCAAGGCAGATATATACGCTAGAGTATTGAGAGACACCTAAATCAGGGATCCAACATGCTTGCAAGAACATGATCAGCATGTGGATTATTTAATGAAATTCAGGCCAGTTCCAAGAGGTGTATTGCAAGATTCGTCCCATTGTGATCTTTTTCTGGAACAAAGGATCATTTAGATAAACTGGAAGTTAGTAAGCCTTCTGAGTATTTAAGGGTGTCACGTCCCATTCTGTAATGATTGGGTTAGGCTTATGCTCTTAGCTGTTGGTCTCTCTTTGTAACTTGAAGGCAAGGCTTCAGCTTCAGGCTTCCATAAAACTCCTATTTACTCCTTTAGAGTTATTAGTAAGAAGGTGGGTGGGGGGGCATAACCCCATGGTACGTGGTGGTCTCTTTTTTCTCTTTTAATTAAAATAGCATTTCATTTCTATTTCCACGTTAGCCGACAAAATGATTGCGAAGGATAGAGTTTTACGTAAACCACTTACCGGTACTTGGAGTACTGTATCATCATAAGAAGGGCATAGCATGATGTCAGATCCTGCAAGTACCAAATGTGCTAAAGCTTCGTCATATTTGCTAAGGAATCTCATGTTCTCATCCTGTGGTATTGAAAAATTCAACAATAATTTAGTTCCAATAAATTTTGTAAGCTAATTATACTCTACAATGAAGGTAATCATGTGCACTGCATCTTTAATCTAGTCTGGGAATGTCCATATTAAGATATCTTCAACATTGAAATATTGCACATAAAAGTACCAAGAAAATAGAAGCTATCTCATGCAGGCATTAGGAAGAAGAATCACTTTAAGGGATAAGAATTCTGATGCAACTTGTTTCCAATTATGGACTTTGTACTTCACAATTTAGTTATTCCAAACAACAGTTACATCACATCTGTGGTTCTCAATTAGAAGCCAACAGACAAACTGGTTTCTGACCAGTAGCGGCTGAAAATACATCAGGTGAATTTAACAAGTACTTCATTTGTCCCAGGATCTTAGTCCAGTTTCTCTTCCCAAGAGTGAAAGAAATAGATCTTTGACTATAGTACTCAAATTTATTATGTTGTCATTTCTTAGTGGAAAAAGTTGCAGCCTTTAGTACATTTCATCTAGTTTCTATTATCTAAATTTCATTTTTCCAAAGAGTAAATTAATCTATGTCCAATTCAAGACCACAAAAAGGTCGAATTGACCCTTGAAAAGCAAAAACAGACTAAGATTTAGGGAAAAGGTAGTAAACATTTTGCTGCTCAAGAGGGGAAATACTGTAAAGGCTTAAAGAACATGTAAAAAACTCCCAAACATGAGGAAGTAGGCACCTTGTACGGGACTTAACATGGCTAGGAGAAAAGATTGACATGTAAGAAATGCTATCAGATAACTATTCCAGCAACATAAATCCAGTTTTATTTGTCAGACAGGTTCAGGAGAGCACAAAAAAATAAAGAAGCAAATGGAGCTTCCAGCAGCAACAGATGTCTCCTTGTAGCTACAACAATCAAACATACCCAATCCCAGCATTTGGACCCGTGGCATGAGCTAAACAGACTGTAACCTTTGTACGTACTTTTTAGCAGAACCCAAAAGCTTTTGACTCTAGACTTTCTTTATTTTTGTAAGAGAAGAACTTACAAAGAGATTAGCCACAAACTTCACACAACGACAATGACAAAGTTCCATTAGGATAAAGCTTGGGTGGTCGGTTAGGAGTTGAATCATGGCTGACACTTGTGCTACCAGACTACCTAATTGTCTCATTCTAAAAAAAGTAGCTAGCTATGTTCTTTTCAGTTTTCCAGTCACAGATACTGATATAACTAAATGATATGGGTATTACAGGCAGGGTGAGGCACAAATATACCCTGACAAAAGAAGGAATGCAATTACCTTGAGTTCCTCCTCAAAATATTCCAATGCCATATTTAAACCAGGAGTTTGACCCGAGCCCATGAAGACAAACTGCACATCCAATTGAAATTCTCATTGGTTTAACAAACTCCGAAGGAAGAGCAAAATAACAGATATAAAAATTTGTGACATAAAACTCCCTGAAAAAATCATCAGCTAGCTACGAATCAGCAGACAGACATACATAGAACCATGATTTATTTGAGAAAAGCAACAACGACTACGCGTCAGTCCCAAAAGAGTTGGGATCGGCTATATGAATCCTGAATGACCATTTTCTCCATTTAAATTCACCTCAGGCCAAAATTGTACGAAATAGAAATAAAAAAAAGAAGTACAAGAAAAAAAAGGTACAAGAATTTAGTTTATTTGAGAAAAGCACACAAAGCATATTCAGAAGAAACGACCTGAACACCCCTCCTTGAAGCCATCCGAATAAGCGTCTTGAGGTTTTCTAGTTCAACATCAGAGATGTCTGAGAAGATGCATCCTATCTGAAGATACATCATTAGTAAGCTAAACATATGCAGATACATTTTTGGAGCACGATATTAAAATTTGAACAACAGCAATAATGTCCTCATCTGGACACACTACAATAGATGGAAGCCTTCTGCAAAAACAAACAAGCTATAATCAAGAATCTATAAGGGATTTCACAGAGAGCAAAAGAGGCGCACATCAAATTGCATGTCATCGATCTTCCACGGAATAATACCTAGGGAAACCTACCAAGAGGAACCATAACTTTCAAAAAGAAAATTCAGCGTTTAGAAGTTCCTAAAAGACATTCAATAGAGTAAGGGATAATATCAAGCAGCAAAGCAGACATTTTCATCAAATTCTATCAAGGACACCTCTATATTCCTCAGCTCAATGTCCTTCATGTACTACATGAAACTAAAATCATCAGTATAAAGTGAAGAAAATGTCTGTTCAAATTTCCAGAAACTNATTAGTAGCAGGGTATCTGTTAGGTAGACTGTCCTAGACAATCTCATGAAGCAGAAGCTAAGAGAAGAGAGAAATCCCTATCTATAGTGTTTGGTTACAGACTTTTGCAGGTAAATCTTCAATAAGAGTAACACTTACAAGAATAATGGACGCTTGATCCTGAAACCCCAGATGCTGCTGCAACGAGACTTTGCAGACAGATTTGCCCTTCATATTATCTGCACTATAGTTTTGAGGAAGATACTTATCCGCTGAAGGATCCCAAGCTGAACTATCAAATCCAGGAGGAGCAACTACTAACTTGTCCCTACAATCAAATGAAATGCAGTACCATAAACACCAGAGGAAAAATAAACCTGAGAGACTACTAAAATGTTGCAGCAAGTAAAAACATATCCGGAGTCTCTAGCAGAGAATAACGACTTGCAAAAGAATCCAAAATTCGTAGCGGTCCTAATTGTAAAACATTGAGAGGAACACGTACTTGTGTATAGTTAAGGTGGGTTCCAGACCATGACTCATAGCATGAATTATCTGCCCTTTTGTTTGCATGGATGACATTATAATAACTTTATTGGAGTAAACAACCCCAGCCTGGACAAAGGCAAAAAAGGAGCAAAATGTTATATGATGCAGGCCAGACAAGCTCAACTTTATCTGGATATAATCCATTGAACGAGGAAAACAAAAGGCAAAAAACATGACTTCTAGTCTTCAAAGGCAAATATAAATGAGAAGTGTGGATGGAGAGTTCACGGTGCCTACTTTCAGGTTCAAAAGTCTATCTGAAAATCATGTGCATTTAAATATGAGTCAGGAAACCCTTCTAATGCAAACTCAGACATTCCGCTAATTGACCAAATGACGTCCAGTAACTGCATTAAAGCATCCAATGGTGACAAACAGTTAAGAGGTCAGAAAGCATCAAATACCTTCAAAACATTGACAAGATGGGACTTGTTGTTATCTTGCAGACGATCAGAACGATGTAATCTGTGAGGATCAAGTCCACATAGGGCTAACTTCTCAGGTTGCTCTACACACTGTCACATATGACCTTCTGAGATTGTCAAGAGACTTGGTACACTTCAAAGCAATTATAAGAGTAGAATAGTCAATGAACACATAATGGGGGCTCTTGCCTGAGACTCGAAGCTTTGACATGTCAACATTATCCTGGTATCTCCAAGTCCCTGTACATTCAAGAAGGAAGAAAGCATTAGCCACAATGCAGAGAGAAAAAGAAAATTTTAACAGAAGCATCAATCGCCATGGTTTGTGCCTAAGATATAAAACAGGTAATTACATCATTCAGAGGAGAACTAGTCAACTGAACCATATAAGAATAAAATTCAGTTGCATGTACGTGGAGTAACCCATTTTAGTTGATACTTACAGAAGAAAGAGATAACCAGACCCATCAAAATTACCACCAAAAAATTGTAGTTTCTTCGTGTCAATTGCCCTTTTGAACAATAAGGTCACGAGGACATTCAGCAAGGAATAATGCAATCAAATGGATCCACGTTGAAGAGAAACAGAGTGATGCCAGATCTATCTAACTACTAGTAAACATGAAGTAAGAAGTTTATCATTGATGAATGCAAATGCTAGGTAGTGAACCTGATCTACAAAAACGTCCCAAAACAATGGACCAACAATAGATGTTTCCCAGTTGTGTATATGAAGCACATCGGGCTGCTTTCCTGCTTTAACTATATAATCCAATGAAGCGCGAGAGAAGTAGGTGAATCTGCCATCAAAGTAGATTTTAGAGGAAATCATGAAAATACATGTCACTACTTGACAACAGAAGAACTAAAGAAACACCACCAAAAGTTTTAAGCGCATGCAGGAAGAACAGATCACAAAACTATACAAACACCACCAACAGTCAAATACAAGTGACTTAGTAACTTCTTCGACCAGCTGGCCAGCTGCATTGCAAAGAGACTGGGGGTGGGGGTGGAGGGGGAGGTGAGGGGTAGAGGTGTACACAAATGCAATGCCCCTCTAGTAGGTGCTTGTTTCTAATAAGACTATGAGATATACAGATATACACCTATGCTTTAAAAAACAACCATCCAAATGGTAATTTATTCCAAATATGGTCCTCAAGTCTTCTATTGTCGTACAATGTGGACAATGCTGTGATGAACATAGTATCTCACGAAGTCGTGGTACATTATTTGCAGCTTTGGCCTCATTTACTCCTATCCCCATGAGAATTAGCCAGAGAACAATTTAAGCAACTGTCCAGGAATTATATCTCAGTTGAATAAAGAGCATTTCAGTAGAGACAGTAGAATCTAATATAAGTTTACCATGATATGGTATCAACACATCCAGTTTAGTGAAACAGAAAAGTATTCAAAAGCTAGCCTCAAGCAGTTAGGAGCTTGTCTTTGGATAAAAAAAGTACAAACAAGTTCAGCAAAATTAAACAACTGTACAGAGACAAGTCATTTTCTACCTGAGTTCAGCTCTAAACAACAAACAAATACTATCATTTTTCCACCGTGACAACTTAAAAAGAGCTAAATTGATATCCCCATTACTTAGCATTAGCACACCAGATTGGATCTTGATGCAAAGAATAGAAGGGTAGAGGTGCGGGAAAATCTGATTGGACCTTGACCACATTTCACAGCGTATGCTATCATCCTGGATGTTACTATTCTTAGAAGATCTTAGAAAGATTTCATAAATGCCAGCTAAGCAGTTATACAGAAAATAAATCTCTTCTTTAGCATGATCAACTGCTTCCAAAGAGTAGTGTAACCATCTTTTCAACATTAGTAATTAGTTCAATATGAATTTGCCGTACTTGTCTAAATCTGTGTGGTTTAGACAAGTGGGAAGCAGGAGAAGTTGCAAAGGCAGCCAATTGAGATTCGTACAACATATTAGGAGTCAGCAAAACTATAAAATGCTGGAAGTATTGTGTTTAAATTAATATTAGATATTAAACAAACAACTGGTGTCTGGAGTATGTTGGTTATTTATAGTTCTTTCCAGTTAGAGTCAAGCACTGTTAACCAAAAATAAGAACTCATAATAAGAGTTGACCAACAAAATCATGAAGCAATCCAACTGAAAGGCCTGCATTCTGAGATGCTTTCAAGTTCTAATTACATTTGATATAAAGAGAGTATTCCAAATCAGACATATACTTCATAAGACAGATATAAAGATAATGTAAACATACTAAGTTGAAGGCATGCATAAATAAGATCCTTTCAATATTTATAAATTAAAAAATAATAGAAACAAAAGGCAATAGTTGCGTATCAAATGGCCCTCTTGCAGAGATGGGGAAGTACACATTAATCACTCAATCAATTATGCATCAAACCAGAACCAGTTGGGATAAGCTATAAGAAGAATGGGGAAAGTACATAATTAGAGGAAAAGGCTTTAAGATGGTAAAAGTTTAAGAAGGGGAGACAATAAGAAGTATGAAATTCTTATCCTATTTCATTCAATTGCAAGGTAATCTTAACAGAATTTACAAACCGTTCAAAATCATTTGAGTAACCATATACTTTCTCGCGGCTGAAAAATGACGAATAGTAGAGAGGTTCTATAAAAGTCACTCCAATGCCATAGACAACCCTGTATAACAAAGAACACAAGGTCACTGCTGTTAGCATCAGGATCAAGATTGATATAAACAGTGTGATATAGTTTAGAGAACAACTGCTCACTCCCAACTTTAAATATCCATGTTCTTCCAGTTCCCTGACAACCAGCCTCGCCCCAGAAAGGAAAATGACCAAATATTTATTTTGACTTTATAACACAGTAAGCAGAAACTCACCCAGTCCAGATTCTGTTTCCGTGCATTTGACCATTAAAGTATGAAAAAAACTCCGCTTCTACTTCTCGTAATCCATGAACTTCATTTAAGTTTAGGCTAGCATACCTGTACAAAATTTATTCAGCAGATTTTTAATTAATTTCACTCATGATTAAAACAGAGTAAACACGAAGAGGCAGTAGGCACAAGATAATATATGAATGAGGACTCCACCTATGTATAGACACATATTGCATAGAAGCTGACGTACACTAAACTAATATATGTCTTGCAAATTGGTGTAAAGAGATCCAATATGAACACAGAGTGTTAGTTCCCCTAGAACTTAGCAGAGAGAAACTTTAAGTAACTTGTGTAACAAGTTAGAATTGCCTTCTAAAAAATAAGATAACCAAAGTAGATCTTTATTTCCTTTAAATAGAGTATTTATACCATCTCTTTTTATCTATATCTGAATATTTATAGTTTCTTATTACCCCTCTTGAGATGATAGTTCAAGAAAAGCATAAATAAAGATGTCCCAGGTGCAACCTTTCATCGTAAACCAACCAAAAATGAGAGCGGAAAATAAATATTCTTGATTACTTGGGTAAGATAATCTCAACCAGATTTCCGTTTCTTTGCAAGGCACAAGATAAGCCGGTTACATATAGTGCCAAAGATCCAACTGAGACCACTGGTGCCATTTCAGTACAAATGTGGATTATGTGGTAACCTGACCTGAAATCAGTATAAAAAAAACAGATGAAGCCCAGAAAACTCATTTATTATAAATTATCTAGCACTACTGCACACTAGTGGGGACCTACAGTATATAGCAAAAACTTCTAACTGACAGCATTGGGGCGGGAACAAGCTGATTCAAACCATATACCAGAAGAAAAGTTCCAACTCATTCACCCCTGCAACATCTTCGTTATATCCATATCACCCAAAATTTCAGGTCCGTATCACCTTTATGATTAAAACAATTTTAACAATAAATGGATTACTTGAACTAAACTAATCCAAAAAGAAAATCAAGCAATGAAGTATTTGGGTGAAAATTGTAAAATAGGAACTTCTGAACCCATGAAACTTCTCAATGTTTTTCTTCTAAAGTCATATCTTCAGAAAATAGTCACCACATTGGAGAGACACATCGTTGAAAACTTACTTTCTACTTTTCCCGGAGAAGTGACGCATCTCTGCCAGAAGCTCTGTATCCTGTTTATGCATTATATCAGAGAAATAATCAACTATGCTGACTTTTGAATCCATGACCAGCCTTCTAAAGTCTGATGCCTCCTTGCTCCCAATCAAACTGGTAAGAACCATAGAGTCTATCCTTAGAAGTAACTCAGCAGTGATTGAGAACTTATCTGTTTCATGGAACCAACAATGAGCTCTTAGTTTTATTACATACACACTCTCCAGAACATATAACAAGAATCGTCAAATATATTAGGATAGGACAGAACGAGAAGATACCAAAAGTACAAGAAACCGGTTAAGTAAATGCATATAAGTCGGAGACTGACCATTATCTCTACAATCTAGAGCATGTAACAGGAATCACTTTCTACGTCCTAAATGGCATTTGGACATTCCTGTTTTTTAAACTATTATAGACACTAGTCTCGTATTGAAAAGAGAAATGGATAACAAGACACAAACTTTTCAAAGTTAGGGAGATGTGACATAAGATTACACATCCTACACAAACCTAAATCTAGCACTTGTGAAGTATCAAAAGAGACCAAAATGTATTTCAACAATTCATATATTTTCTAACATGATTAACCTAAATATTCTTCCTCTATATCCTTGGCTCACCTTAACCTTAAAATTCTTAATATTGATACTTAAACAATATATTTTCTAAGTGGAAAATTATAATTTCTTTTTCCTAAAGAGAGGGAAACTATAATATATAGTCTCTTTTGGTGTTAAGTTGAGGAAGTTTTGTCTTCCATTTTACTACCATATAGAAGTGTGAGTTCAAAGGCTCTTTTTGGTTCATCTATCTGAGGCTAAATCTTGAACATAAAATTGTGGAGATAATCTCATTGATCAATTGATGGTTCTGCTGGAGGTGACATTTTGGGTAGTTAATTGACTGAATTTGCCCTTTTGTTTTGTGGTAATCCCTTTGATGCGCTAAATAGTCTCTTTAGCCGCTTAGGTGAGGTTATTTTGAGTACTTTGTGTGTCAGCATGTCATTGGTTAAGTTGGTAGCATTATTGTGTTTTTTTAATAGTATGGTCTCATTGACTGAGATTGCTCATCTTATTTTTAGGTATGTCCTTGGCGTCCTTTGTGGGTTTCTTGGCTTTTGATGTGTAGGATATCTATGGGTTTTTCATTGAAGGAAACTCTCTGATTGGTCCTGCAAAAGATACAAGAAGATTGCAAGAATTGTACCGCTACCTTTTCTTGTATTAATCAGCTTTGTTCTCTCTAGTTGCTCGATCTGATCAAGCAATGAACTTTTCTCTCTTTTTACTCTATCAAGCTCTTCCATGGTCATGATGCGTTGTTTGTTCAAGTACAAGATATCTATATGGAAGCCATTCAGTAAAAAAAAGAAAGTGTGTTAACACAGGTCTAAGCAAACTAGGACAGACAAAGTACATCAACAATAACTTACTCTGTTGAGCTTCTCCGAAAAGTTGCCAAATGTCACTACCTTTCTCTTCTAATTCAGCACTCTTCATTTGTGGAATATTCTATAAAAAAGTACATGAATATATTGCAATGGATGGAAACACGTAGTAAAGCAAGATTGAAGCAACTGAAGTAAGAACGCTGCAGTACCTCATCACTACTGTGGTTTCCCAACCTAGGTTGAAAACAATGTAGTAATTTAGTTAATTACATTAAAGGGAAAAACTTTCGTCACACAGAAATGCTAACTTAGATGCGAGGGGAGAAGGATGGATTCGTGCTCACTCCAACTGGAAAGGTCCACTAGTTGAGCCATTACTCTCTGCATTCTTCCTGAAATAAGTCAAACAAAAGAAATTTCAGCCCATTATATGAAGAAACATTGGTGTCTTGAAGTGGAAGAACAGTCTCTTCTTTTGCCCCATCTTTTGATTTAATATGTAAATAAGGTACTCCGTAACGCCAAGGCAACTCAAAAAATCTCAGGGAGCAAGCCACCATATAGGGCCTCCCCACTACAAAGGTTGAGTTATTACATGAGGTAATTGGAACGTCTTATCTTTTGCCCATTATACACTTATGTGCAAGATGAACAAAGATGAGGGCATGCAACACCTGCTCAGCATTTAATTAGAACACAATTTCTAGAATGTTTAAGATCTCCAGCAGTTTGCAACAATTGAGTTTATGATCACTGGCTTATGGGATTCACTCGAACGTGAAGCTCTTGAACCGTTCCACCCATGTATCTCTGACACCCATCTACTATTTTTTTTTTTTGACAACAAAATAAACATAAGGGATTGGCTTTGCTTGGAGTAGGTGGTGGAACTGAAAAGCATAGTAATTAATATTCAGTCAATCTATCATTGAACATGGATACTGAGGTCAGCAAAGCACAGTTATCAAGAGCAGTTTACCTACTTGACAAATAAATGGCTCCCCACCAATCCTTAACCAACAACACGACCCAATTTACCTACACTCATATATCTGTAGGTTTCAACCACATGCTTCTCAGTTCTTTGAAATCCAATTTGCTTTGACAATATCCGAAAATGAAGTTCTCCCCCTGCTAGTGCGGAATAGAGAGAGAGGGCCGTCTTCCACTTGCATTTCTGCAAAGATGTTATTCCCACGCTCCCTCACCTATCTGCCACGAAATGAGCAACTCTACCGTAGCACCAAGGCCATTTTGAACCGTAGGTGAAAAAATAGCAACTTTTTCCCAATTTTCATGCTAAACAAATATTTCTCTGTTATAAACTATCAGGAATAGCATATTTTGCAATTTGAAGACAAGCAAGCAAATGGATGGCTTAAAAAGGCAACAAATAAGAGAAAGAAATAGAATCAATGAGTTATACTAGTAAAGAATATTACCCGACGCAACAGATAACCGAAAGTCGGAAAGGTTTGCCGTTAGCCGGAGAGAACATGCGAAGAGAAGGAGGAGTTTTAGCGATCGATAAACTGGAAAGCATCTCCGTGATCATTGTCCAGTAGCGAAGATTGTGTACGACTGTGACAGAGAGAGATGTGAATAGCTATGATAAAAAGGAATGGAGTGGAGATTTTGCTAGTTTGTAGAGTCAAAGTGTCACGTGATTTTGCTCCAACATAGCAGATAACGCTTAAAATGACCAAAAAGTCCTCTTAACTGCTTAAACCGCCCGCCATAACCGTCAAATTGCGAAATTCTAATAACATCTTCTATGTCCTAATTCCTAAATTAAATTATTGGGTGGTTCGATTTCACATAACTGATCTTCGACATAGTTAATCTGGAAGAGGAGAATCCAAATGGATAAGCATTAGTCTATTCAAATTCATTGTATCACCGTTCAAATTTTGTCAATTTGACAACAAATAATCCAAATCAGCACAAGTGAAGTTACGGCAAAATATAATGTACAGCAACTAATTCAAAAGCTGTACCACGTGCCCCAAGAATTTTCTCAAATTTAGCTTAGCAAATAGGGGCATTAAATTATTGCAGCTGCAGAATGATAAAAAGATTATGTTACAACTGATTGGGCAATGAGCGGCAACGCTCAAATCTCAATACAACAACCAATAGAAACAAATCAATTGGTAAATTAAGCGGAGACTCAATATTCCTGTACAAATTCCCCACATCCCCCCCTTTACTTTGTGGCTAACTAGCAAAAAATGAAAACCTCAATAGTTCTCTCTATCAAGCAATGGAAAACCATCTTTCCCTTCAATGATGACTCAACTTGCGCTTCTTTGCCTGTTTTCTCAACTGCTCCCTCCTCTCTTCTTCTTCTATCTTCCGAAGTTCTTCCTCGTCCTCTTTCCTTGCTATTTTTGCACTGGAAAACAAATTAAAAGTAGGTCAGCATTCAGCACCTTCTCTTACTTGTGCGGGAGACCGTTGAAGCACTCATCTTGACAAGATAAGTACTAACAGGAACACAAAATTGCGAACAGACATTGCATAACCTAAATATATATTCTAGAAAATTGCTGCTTCCCATCATAGCAGCAGCCATAAGCATTGGTTAGGTTTTGAAAAGTTTGTACAGGAAAATTCAAAAAAAATCTCATTTTAAAGCCAGAAGGAAAGAAGGTTAACTATAGGTTTGAAATTACCGTTTCCAGTCTTTTTCTGTCTTCGCATCACAGTAAAACAAATGGATATGCAAAAAGAACAGTATTCCACTCAACTTCACCCATGTAGTCAAAAACTAGGTGATGAGGGCATGCCCTGCATGTTAGACCCTCTATATATGAAATGCAAAATAAGATAAAAAAGAAAGACAAAAAAGAAATGCCTAACTAGGAAAGCCTTAAATTTGAACTTCTAGCCAATGAATTAAGTGCATGTTATTCCCTTGAAGGGAAGATGGGAGTAGCAGAGGGAGTGGGATTGCTTACACTAGCAGATCAAGTGAACTAGGCGCTCAGCATGAACTAACAAATGTTGAAAGTAAGTATAGAAATATGAGACAATTTCACCAACCTTCGCTTTTCCTCCCTCAGTATGTCATCAAAATTAGCCTCCATATCACTAGTATCATCATCATCTTGATACCTGTTGGGATTATACCTGCAAAAAAAGACATACTTTCTCAAGCCAACAAAACGAGATGAAATTCAACATTAGGCATTATCAAAGCTAGCAACATCTTGCAGTTTATTGTGATCTTAATTTAACTACATCAAATAAAGAACCAATCAAACAAGTTTTATCTGAATCAACTTTTTTGTATGTGTCCTCAACCGCAAGAGAATCTGATCAGAGAACGTGAATATTTCACCTGATCAGTTTCCACTAGGAAGTTTATCCACTTGTACAAAAAAGTCCTTCAAGACTATAAAGTTTCTGGTCTCACGAACCCTCAACTCTAAAGCAACCAGCAATGTCAGAAATACAAAAGCTAGAGCTTCAAAAAAAAAAATTGCAAACCAACCTTCCCAAAAGGATAAAAAATCAACTAAAAGAAACTTATAAGGAAGGAATGATAAGTACCCAAACATCCTCCTAATCATACTAATAGCTTCTGCTCCATCACCTTCTTCATCATGTCTCATTGGTTTTCTTGCTGGGCGCCTATCTTCCAAAGAACGGGTTGCAGTTTTAGGAGGCATTTGCTTTATCTGTTAAAATCACAAATTTGGATCAGCAGGTCTCCATCACCACTACTACTGGCAAACCCCCCAACCCAAACCAAAACGGAGGGAAAGCAGCTTCATCTCTGTAACCCAAGGAAAAGATAAAATGGATAACATTAAAAAAAAAAAAAAAAACATAGGTAAGACCTGAGATTTGGATGACGGCACTGCCTGTTTCTGCATCATCCGCTTAGATTTGGATGAAGGCCCAGCTTGATTTGATATCCCCTTTGACTTTCCAGATTGTAGCAGTTCCTTTTTCTGTACTAAGGACTGCCTTGGAATAGAAGGTTGCAACTTTGAAGGGGTTGGCTTATGCAAAGCAGGCACAGTGCTCTTGACGCCTGGTGTCAAAACCCTCTTGCCATTTGGAACGCCTATAACTTTGGGAGGCACCACTTTTGGCCCCAAAGGCCGATCAGGCCCACTCCCTTTACTGCTACTAAGCTGTTTCCTCAAATCTAATGCTAGTTGAGATTGCTTACTAACAGAAACTGATTTCTGAGTCAACAGTTTCGATTGCATTTGGCTGCTTCCTGGTATAGGTTTCCGTACTTCATGATCATTGAGCAGCTTTCTCCGCGTATTGCTTAAAGATTGCTTGCTGCTTGGTGGTAAAGATAATCGTGCATCTTCAATATCACCAAAAAACCTGAATAAATTTTCACAATAAATACAGTACGGCGTACGCCCTGAACCACTAAATAAACAACCAGATTAGCTATGATAGGAAGCGCACCAGAATAAAGGGCAGAGTCTTTATGAGGTACAGAACCTTTTGATGGAGCAGGAAGTTCAGCATCATCAGATAATAGAAATGAGTAATCTCTTGTATTTTTTAACATCTGGACCTTTGTTTTCAACTGCAGAAATTGATATGGCAAAAAATTGTTTAAAAGAAGCATCAGAAAATACAGAGAGTACATCATCAGTAGTAAAACACAATTAAGAGTACATTAATTTCCACTAATAATTCAGTACCCCGTTAGTGACCTTTGGTGCATGGCTGCTAATACCAGATTTTGATACTGCGGGTTTTGATGCAGAGCTCCTATCGTTCTACAAGAACAGAAAACGCTCTGTAACAGATATAATGTAGGCCCTGACATCAATGGAAAGGTATATGTGCCATTCAATGCCCATTGGCTCCAGTGAAGATGAGAATAATTAACCATGCAATAATGGCATGTCATGTGATATTACTAATTTTTCATAGTGTGGAAGTGGAAGCTAAAGCTGTTGTACACTACTAGAGAGGACTTATAAGGTGATGATGATTTGCAAACCTTCATTAATCGTAGAATTACAAAACTACACTGAGGCACAGGCATCTTCATATGAATTAAAATTGATACATACAGCATGGTTTGATTTCAGGACTTTTGCTGCCAAATTTGGATTCTCCAATAGCGACTTGCTTTCTTGGATTACTCTTTGAGCGATCACAGGCTGGGAAGGTCCAAAGAAGGAACCATAACTGAAAGTGCCGAGAAAGAAACAGGAAGTAAGACCAACAGCATAAGCTTCAAAACTGAAATCAATTAACTTTATTCTAGATGTATACACCAATAAATCTTTATAAAGGGTAAGAGATACATTTCGTGCAACTACACCTTGAAGATTAAAAACACAGAAAATATTAGAATTATAGTATTTTTTAGAATGTAGAAATCAGAATTTGGGAAAAAAATCATATTTATCAATCTTCAGTGGTGAACAATTTCAACTGAAACTAGAGTGGCGGGAAGACAAGGCATATATTCCAAAGAATATGCATAAATAGACACCCAAAAGATCCATTTGACATATGCGGTTTTTTTGAAAATGTATTTGACATATGTGGTTTTTTTTTGAAAATGTATTTGATATATGTGGTTTTGAAAAGCACAATTCCATGCATGAGACAGAACACAGCTAATATTTAGAAATATGCAACAGACTAAGTGAGAGTACATTCATTACACAGAATTGATAAATTCAAAATCCAGCACAAAGTAACATATTGACAAACAAACAAACAAGGGTGTCCAAAATCTGAAACACACTAGTGGCACTCACTTGTCCCTCGGCAAAGCCTTCTTAATTTCAGTTGAACGGCCATTGACAGAACCTAATTCCTTCTTCCTCTGTTTCCTGATATCTTCTTTCAGTCGTTGTCTCAGCTCCAGGTACTCCAACAACTCTTGTGGAGGCTGCTGAGGCTCTTCCTCCTCATATTCCTCTTCGCCCTCCTCGTCCTCTTCTTGCTCTTCACCTTCCTCCTCATATTCATCCAAATCTTCATACTCCTCAAACTCCTGAATGAACACAATAAAGCTGTCATACCAAAGCAGAAGATGAAAATTTCAAAGCAAAAGCAAGGATTTAAAAAAGATATAGTAATAGCTTACGTCTCTTTCATATCCGTGCATAGTTGTTCTGGATCAGCCAAACAAATTCTCAATAACTCATGAGAAGACCAAAAAGCAGATCCCTGATCAGAGAAGGAGATGAAGTTATGACCACAGTGACAGGCTGATAGGCACACATTGGAAAACCTATAACTTTTTCCACCATAACACATTAAAAAGAAAAATTCCACCAAACTGGTGCACACCAAATTAAGTTAATCAGCGGAAGACAAAAACAATCAACATCTGTCAAAGATCAGATATTGAAACGAATCAGACCTTATTAAATATAAAAATTGAATTGATAGAGAATTTGAACATTTCAAAACCTTCACTGTTTCTCTTCTTCTCCTCCTTCTCCGCAATAGAGTAAGTGAATTATTCGTGACACCCAAATTTGTAGAGTTTCTGAGTCCATACTCAACAAATTACTTTTAGAAAAATAAAAATTGATTGCAACCGAACCACACCAGTTCTATTTACTAATAATTAAGATTTATTGGAAATCGAACACGTAAATGCTTCCAATTTCTTGACTCTTGATCCACTGGAGCCTGAAGGACCTTAAATGGTAATTAAAAAAACTAATTTTTAATCTAGAATAGGAAACCCTAATTGCCACTAATTAATATCCAAATAGCCTACAAATTCACAAAAATTGAAAAAATATTACCTGAATCGATCTGGAATACCGAAACAAAGCAGTTATTCAATGAAAACTCAAAGAAAAAATGGTAAAAATTTAGTAATGTATTGCGTAAATAGATCCGCTATACCTGAAAACCCAAGCAGATCGACTCAAATCCGACGAAAATTACCGAAAGGGGCGTGAATGCGAAGCAAAAACGAAACAATTCTGGATCTGGCAAAACGGCCACAACGGGATTGAGGGTAACGATCCGGCTTCGTCGTGAATGAGCGACGCTGAATGATATAGAAAGACGAGAGCTGGAGGAAGGACCCAGAACATACGGGGCCAAATGCTATCGTGCGCTGGGCGTATATAGCCCGAACCCGAGTTCAGTTTCAACATACTTGTTGGTTTTCCGTAGGAAGATAGGAGAAAAATGCATGCAATAAGGGGATTCGCAACAAGGGTTGCCTGGATGTACTTATTCTTTATTCGTTGGCTTTCTTTTTCATATTTGCGTTACCAGTGGCTCGTAAAAGAGTTTTGACCAAGTCATTTTGACCTAAAAGAAAGGAAATGAAAGCAAACCACTTCCATCAAACCTACATGCAAATTATTTAAAATATGATTCTAAAGTATCGGTGTGTTAAGTTAGCTTAACCTGCGCCTACCATGGGTAAGAGAGCTCGTATTCCATCTCAAAAAGCTATAATGGCGAGAAAATCAGCTGCCTCTTCGAGCAATGCTCAACGAGGAACCAAGGACAAAATAGTTAGAGAAGAAACTTCGAGTGAAACGCAATTGAGCCCTAATTTTAATGGAACAGTACCAAAAAATAAAAAGAATGAGAATCTCAAGCAAATCGAAATAATTCAACTGTGGAATGAGGTACAAGCCTCTATGAGCAGCGATCAATCTGTGCATGTGAACAATGGAAGGAAATCATGGGCTGATGAAGTAGAAGAGGCACCAGAATTGCAGGGGAGGAAGAGCTCAGTATGGGACAATTTCGATATTAAAAAAATTTCGAATGTTGGTTACAAATTGGAGTATGTGCAGCCTAAATCTCACGGTGAGTCAACTTTTGGTGAAATTGAACTAGATGATATAAGTACAGAAATAGAATATTGGGGGAACGCAGTTATTTTCTATGTCCTGAGGGCTCACCCTACATCCAAAGGCTATGGGGTAAACTAGGTATTTACGGGATTGCAATGTTGAAAAATGGAGTAATTGTGGTACTATTTGACACAATAATGGGTAAGCAAGAGGTTATCGAAGGGGCATCTACCATTTTGATAATAAACCCTTTATTGTTAAGGCTTGGACACCTGAGCTAGAGTTCACCCGTGAGGAACTACTAACAGTACCAATATGGATCAAATTGCCAGGATTGGATTTCAAGTACTGAAGTCCAAGGGGACTAAGTGAGATAGGAAGTTTGGTGGGTAAACCATTAATGGTAGACCAAAATACAGAGAAAGAAAATGGGCTTAACTTTGCTCGATTATTAGTGAAAGTGAAAATGGATGCTAAACTACATGATGTGGTGAAGTTTAGGAATGAAAAGGGCAGAATAATAGAGCATAGGATCAGCTATGATTAGAAACCAACTTTATGTGCTCATTGTGCGAAATATGGGCATGATGAGGCAGTATGTAGATTAAAAAGAAGGTACCAACGACTGATCAACAGAATAATGTCAAGCCAAATGGTAAACAGGAGGAAAAACAAGTTCAAGTGGAAAATGAAAAAAGGCAGGAGGATCATGAGGCTTCCACAGTAATAAAGAAAACCTTGCTTAGTGCTACATTAGGCAGATCATAGGAGTATGAAGCCAGAGATCAGAATGCAACAAAGGAAAGGGGGGAGGCATCAGGGTGGAAAACTTCACATAAGTTTGGCAAAAATGTTCCAAAGCAGAATGAGCAGCTGGAAAAATCCAATCCATTCCAGATTTTGCACAAACAGGAAACATTATATCAGATGAAGGAAGGGATAGTAGGTGGTAAGATGGGTGGACTAACTATTCCTCATAGTGGGAATGGTTACCTTACTAAGTTAGAATACTATGGGTCTAAATGCCTCTAATAAGCAAAAGGAGGTGAAACTCCTTTGCAATGATGAAAAGGTAAGCTTGATAGGCCTACTATAATCCAAAATAAAAAAGGAAAAGATGGAGTTAATAGCAGATAAACTGTTTACAGGATGAAAGCATATTACTAATTTGGACTGTCACTATAATGGGAGAATCTTGGTCACTCTGAGACCAGATTACTACCAGATTGTTTTGAAATACAAATCAGCTCGGTTGATTACTTGTGAAGTGTTGAGTATCCCACTCCAGTTATCTTTTGAGATGGCATTTGTATATTCTTTTAATACAAAAGAGGAGAGAAGAAGTCTGTGGGAGGACCTAGTCATTCATAGCAGGACATACAGGAAGCCTTGGTTGGTTTGGGGGGGACTTTAACTCAATACTAAGTGCTGAGGATAGAATTGGAGGAAATGAAGTGACTTGGTGTCACGACCCAAACCGATGGGCCGCGACGGGCACCCGGTACCTTACTCAACCGAATACCAAGTTATATATCTTTCTTATTACATCATCATATACATGTGACATACGGGCTTAATAGGCCAACATCATCATTTATAAACTCAAAACATAGGCCGACAAGGCCGTACAATCTTTTATATACATGACATCTATCTACAAGCCTCTAANACCGAATACCAAGTTATATATCTTTCTTATTACATCATCATATACATGTGACATACGGGCTTAATAGGCCAACATCATCATTTATAAACTCAAAACATAGGCCGACAAGGCCGTACAATCTTTCACGTATACGACATATGCCTACAAGCCTCTAAGAGTACATAATTATCATAAAAGTCGGGATAGAGCCCCGCCATACCAAACCATACACATCTAAATCATACTGACCAAACAAGTAACTCCGAAGCAAATTGAGTGCACCAATATCTTCTGTTGAGCTGATCGCCTACTTGGAGGACTCTCGACCTGTCTATCGAGACCTGCGAGCATGAAACGCAGTGTCCTCAGGCAAAAGGGATGTCAGTATAAATAATGTACCAAGTATGTAAGGAATGAAAATTAGTAAATAATAGAAATGAGAGAAACATGGAGTAAAAGACTCGACATGTACGTGTGCATAACTCTGTGAGTCATTTCATTTTTATAATGTCATGCATATGCGTATAAATGTCATACCATGCATAGGTATATACGTTCATAGTATCATCAAGCCTTTGAGGGCATCTCATCATATCATTTCAGTCACTGTGGGCAAATCATCAATGTATACCAGATGATCAGGTGGTGGTGCGTATATAACGCTGTAACCTTTTCCATATCCCATATATATATATATATATATATATATATACACACACACACACACACACACACACACACACACACAACGTCATCTGGTAATGGGTCAATGTACATGTATAAATGCATGAAATGCATATGAAACACGTTAATAGGATTTTCTCGAAATGTCATAAAAATAATATGCCTGTCGGATAAATTTTATCAAATACGTATTTTTCTGAGACCCATGAACAGAAGATATAATAATAATTCACATGGGAAATCAAGAATAATAGACACCCCTAATATTTCTATGAATAGAGTCATTTATAGAAATTGTGCATTTGCTCGTTTCGTTTGTATCGTATTGATCATGCCAAAAAGAAAGAAGGGATAGCCTTAACATACCTGAATCGATTCTCTTTTGCGTAACGGCAGATCAAAGTAGGAAAAAATTCGTATGATATTCTTGAGAAAGATTGTACCGGGCTTTCTTTGAATTCGCAGTTCAGATTAGATCTTGTAGCATTTCAGAGAATTTCACGTTGGACCTTGTAGCATCATCTCTTCAAAGAATTTTCACGTTAGACTTGTACTTGCAAGTTGCAAAGAGCTCCCTTTTGAGATTTTCAGTCATAGTATCATTGTTGCAAACAAAAATATATTCACCCAACAGTTTCATTTCTTGGCAAAGATTCAGCTGGTGGCAAAGTCCTAAACTTTTTATTAACACCATTATGTTTTTCATGTTGGCAGTGACATTTTTCTTCAATGATGTAGGAAGATGCTTTCTTATCAAAGAGAGTGGGCTCCACTTGTGATGATTAGCCACCAAACTCCCCTAACACATACCACATAGTCTTGTAATTTAAGACTCATCATCAAAGTCATATAGGGCTGCCACGTTTGGGGGGTATACTTATCCAAAATATTTTAATCAATCCCTTAATTAACTTGGTAATTCCCCACTAATCCAATAATTAACCAATTACCCACATAATTAAAAATTATTTTCACTTACTTAAAATACTACTCACTTCTCATATACCTTATACTTCGACGAAACTCATTTTTTTCGATTTGCTTACCCTCTCGCCTTCACGAATTTACTCATCACTTATTTGAAATGGCATAATGCTTATAATCTCAAAATAATCCTATTCCCGAGCTTACGTTGATTAACTTACGACGAAACTTTTAACGTACAAAAATGCAGGATATGACATCTCATTTTCGAGCTTTCATCAATTTATTTATGGAGTACTCTCACGTACGAAAATATGGGGTATAACATCATTCCCCCCTTTGGAACATTCGTCCTAGAATGTTGACTGATGCACTTATCATTCTCATAACCCGTAGCTCTTGCGAATACTTTAATACTCTTCTTGCCATTTAGAAAACTGTTCTTTGAATAAATCCAAAGGATAGGGTATTCCCTCCTTTAGGCCTCTTTATCACACCACGACTCGTGGTCGGAATGATTCCAATCCTGTAATTGTTGCTATCTTTTATCATGCAGTCTGTACTACTTTGACTTTGTAAGTGCGCCTATGCGACTCTTCTTTCCCTTTTCCTCCAGTTTTTAGCCCATCTCTAGGCCTCACTTTGTAAGCATATATAGAGCCTGACAAGATATCCCTCTGGGCATCTATAGGTATACTGAAGTTCTTTGCTTAGTACTTTATCGAACTTATGAATATTGCTATATCTTATTTCATAGGCCCGGTTATCTATCCGCATGACTTTACTGCATCTAGATAGGTCTTACTATACCATAACTCTTACTTCGATTTATCGTTACTGAGGTCTGCTATCAAACTCCAGGTTCTTTTATTTTTTTCGTTTATCCCATATGCATAAATCTAAGTCCTTTAATGCTTCTTCAATACTTGTTCATCTTAAGAACGCCGGCCTAATCTCACCTCATATTTTGTGACTTTTGTCCATCCACTGTTGATTCACCTTAATGTTGATCCATAATTTACCACTGATAACTTGATCTCTTATGTAACACCGCCGCTAGGGCTCGCGTCTCATCGGGGGCATCTGGAGTGATTAGACTGATCCACCTAGGGGTGATACCATGCTTCCATAACCGTAGTTCGTAGCATCCCAATGTGATACACCTTACGTGGGTATTTTAATCTTGTACAATTCA